AGAATTCTACTTGAACAAATTTTAATTAATACTTATTGAATTGAAATAAAATTTTCAAACCCTTTAAAATTTAGTGCTGATGGCAATTACGAGGTGACCCTGATGACAAAGGCGACGGTGACATGGGAGGGTGAGGTTTACTGGAAGCCTCCAGCGATCTACAAATCGTCCTGCGAAATAAACGTCGAGTACTTCCCCTTCGACGAGCAATCCTGCCTCATGAAATTCGGTTCCTGGACATACAATGGAGCTCAAGTCGACCTGAGGCACATGCTCCAGACCAGTGGCAACAATCTGGTGGAGAAGGGAATAGATCTCAGTGATTTTTACATGTCCGTCGAGTGGGACATCCTAGAGGTGCCAGCTGCAAGGAACGAGGAGTATTATCCCTGCTGCACTGAGCCATACACCGACGTCACCTTCAATATCACTATGAGAAGGAAAACCCTATTTTATACAGTCAATTTAATCATTCCCTGTGTCGGAATCACCTTTCTCACTGTTCTCGTATTTTATCTGCCGAGTGACTCCGGTGAAAAGGTTTGATCATTATTTTTTTTATTATATAATAATAATAAATATTCTCTGTCCCCTGATTTTACTTTCTTAATTATTTAATTTATCAGTTTGGATTATACAATAGCACAATCGATTGTTGATTGACTTTTTTTTTACAGGTGTCATTGTGTTCATCAATTCTCCTGTCTCTGACGGTGTTCTTCCTTCTACTAGCCGAAATCATTCCACCGACGTCTCTTGCTATTCCACTGCTTGGAAAATATCTTCTTTTTACGATGATCCTGGTGACTCTGTCAATCTGGATAACGGTTGTAGTGCTGAATGTCCATTTCCGATCGCCTTCCACCCACTTCATGCCCAATTGGGTTCGAGTCGTTTTTCTCAGCTGGATGCCCCACATTCTGATGATTCGCAGAACTCCATATTCAACTCCTGAATACAGTGATATGTTCATGGAGACTGGGTATTCTAATGAAATCGCTGATTATAGGTAATTCTAGGGGATGCCAAATTAGAAAAATTCATTACTGCTGCTCATTACGTTTTTTTTTTTGAAAATTTCATTTGTTTTTGCAGAATTTCAAATTCGGCGTTGTCGTTGAATTTTCAACGTCCCGTAAATAGTTTGAGGGAAACGATCGCAAGTTGATGAACAAAGAACTTGAAATTGTTTGATCCTGCTAAATTTCATGTATTTGTAGAATTTAGTTCTTTTAATTAATTGAAAAGTTGTTGTTGTGTGTTTGAAATTCTCAATGGGACAAATATCCACTCGTTGATGATGAAATTAATTTTTTCCACGGTTAAAAACTTCGGAATTCATTCAAGATCCAAAATTTGTACTCTCAAAAGTTTCCAATATTCCTCGTGACTCATAAAACAAAAGATCGAAAAGTGTTAACTCAATAAAAATTTTGAATTTTGCTGTTTCCGGAAAAAGAAAACTGTATTTTACTTTCTCTTATAAATTATCTTTCTCTAATCTTGCTTCCTCTTCCAATTGATGATTAAGAACCAGAAAGGAATTAAATCCAGAAATTCTTGTTGTGTCTTTATGTTAAAAAAAAAGCAATTTCCCGTTGGGAAGTTAAAAATGTTTGGATTTTCAGTTGTGGAGATAGTGTAAGTGAATATACATCAGACTTGAAGGAGAATCCAGACGAATTCGACCGAGTGACTCTGGCCTACAAAAACATGGAGGACGAAAACGGACACCATCACCAGGACCGTGGTTCCTCGGATCATGAACACGACAACATCCTCCTGAGACATGCCTCCCCAGATGTCCTATCCGCCCTGAAAGGCGTATGTTTCATCGCCCAACACATCAAAGACGCTGACAAGGACAACGAAGTGAGTCAGCCAATTTATTTCATTTTCAATACATACCCAAAACTAAAAATCAACTGACACTATTTAAAAAAATACTATTTGCATAAATCAATTTAAAAATTTTCACTGCCTTGGCGCCAGAAATTTTTCATATTCCAATTACCAATTATTAAATTGAAGACTATTTCAATTTTCGTTAGACATTAATTATTAATTGCATATTACTATCATTGAATCAATAACGGCTTTCAGAAAAAATCACTATTATTATTAATTAAAGATAACTTTATTTTTTTTTATCTTCATCAACAGCTCTGAAAGACTCACGAAATTCGTTGGTCCCACATAAAAAAGGATTAAGGCTCGGGTGGATTATCTAGAAAAGATCATTTACTCTGAAATTCGGATTCCTAATTACTTTGGCAATTAATCGTTTTTTTCAATAATTGTTAGCTAGCGTTCTAGCGGTTGTCAACAACTAGGCCGCTAGCTAACAATTATCGGAAAAAACGATTAATTGACGGAGTAATTAGAAGTCCCAATTTCAGAGTAAATTATCTTTTCCAGGCAGTCCATCCGGTTCTTAACCATTTTGCAAAATGTTTTACAATTTATATATTACAAAAAATTGTGTAAAATATCAATATCTTGCGGAATAATATTGGGATGGAGCTGTATTCTTATTGTATTTTTCTCCAAATTTTGTTCGTGGAATTTTGTTTAAAAATTGTAAAAGCGTTTGGAGGACAGAGATCCTTAAATGAAAAGAAACATTTATTCTCAGGTGATAGAAGATTGGAAATTCGCTGCCATGGTTTTAGACAAATTCTTCCTCTATCTGTTCACTCTGGCCTGCACCGGGGGCACAATTGGAATAATCTTCCAAGCACCTAGTCTCTACGATACCCGACCATCACTCGACGAACAACGAACACCCGGAATTCCAATAAGGGGTGGACGAGACATGCGGACATTCGGTGTCAATGATCTTGATATGATCTTCCATGAGACATGAGAATATTTATCAATTTTATAATTGTTTTCAATAATAATTGACCTCAATAAAACCCACGTTGCGACCCCCCCATCGAACTGAAGACTCTCTCTAATTACCAAATCCCTCAATAGATTTCCATTAAAATATTGTTAAAGGAAGGGGATCCATTAGATATTAAAAATGTTTGTTCGGGGCGATAAAATAATAAAATAACGACGTAAACTAAAGACACGTCCCTTCGTACATTGAGAAAAAAAAATGATGATCGATCGAATGACGATCGTACATTAATGTGATTGAGGAAAAGAGACAACAAATACGCAACATTAAAGTACCATTTAATTACGAAATTTGATAATTAAATTGGTTCTGAGGATTCTTAAAAAATTATTTATTTATTCTTAATTATTTTTTAATTTAATAATTTTTATTATTTATTAATTATTCTTATGAACATAAATCTTTTAATCAACATCAAATTGAATGGGTTTAATCAATAATTAAATTTTAGACTATAAATTGGAAAGAAAGACTCAATCGAATTGACAAAAACAAATGGCGTGAAGTTCCTTTAGTGTTTAACCGTTGAATTGACTAATTGATTGTAGGAGAATTTTTGCAGAGATTCTGTGAAGGAGTGGGAATTGGGAATTGTGAAGTAAATGGAAAACAGCGAGTCAGTTGGATTTTTAATAGTTTAATGTCCACCGTACAATAGCCTCAACAAAAATGGTACATTTACTTGTCTTCTGGCTTGTTGAAGACGAGGGTGTAGCCACATTTGCCGCAGTAGTGGCGGTCCTCCATGGCTGCCATGAAGACACCTGCACCGCACTGCTCAGATGGACACTCTCGTCTCAAACGATGGATTTTTCCATTCTCATCGACCTTGAACAAAACAAATTATTTCATCATCAAATTCTTCGTAATGTGAAAAATCAATTTCTGAAGTGGAC